AAGGTCTCACCCTTGTATAAGATGTCTGAGTGTCTACGCAGTCTCTAAATGCTGCACAGAATCAGAGGGCATCTTATTCCCCAAGCACATCAGCTGCTGCTCAAATACTTCATGCTATTCCTCACTTCTTTGCTAGGCTTGAAGCAATTTCCCCAGCTCACAAGCCTGCACTTCTCCAACTGGGATGTTTGTAGGTTTGGGGCCTCTGTGATGGGCCAGTTCCAAACTGGCACAGTTTATTTAAGTGCTATAAAGCCTGAGACTCTTGAAGTAAGTGGAAATCTTTCCAGAGAATTCAACAGCCTTTGGATGCAGCTTTCAATGTGTGTAAACCCACTTGTCCCTGCAGGAGGGCACAAAGGTGATCACGCCATAGTGAGAAATGCAATCTGATTTTAGGAAGCACAATGCAGCTGATCTGGACTTCCACATAAATCAGTTTTCCACTGGAATATATCACAGCTGAGTTGAAAAGGGTGCAGGTAGTTATATACAGTAGCAAATCTCAGCCTGTATCTGCTCTTCTACATGGCACTCAAGACAGTGAGACTGAAAGGAAATAAGTAAGTGCTAGCTTTCATTTTTTGTATTTATTTATGGCATTTTACATGCACATTCCTTGGGTAAATACAGTGAAATCTCATAGTGTGAAGATGGAAGCATGAGGAGGTGGCATAGCCAGGCTTGAAGATTCCCATGTGTTGATCAGAACAGGAACTTTCGGGTGTGACTGCTTGCCCTTCTGATCTATTTAATGAATTGGCTCATTATCACCAACCCAGAAGCCGTGTATCGTAGAATCACAGACTAGTTTGGGCTGGAAAGGACCTTTAGAACATCCAATTCTGCCCCCCTGCCATGGGCAGGGACACCTCACACTAGACCATGTCATCGAAGGCTTTGGCCAACCTGGCCTTGGGCATTGCCAGGGATGGAGCATTCACCACTTCTTTGGGCAACCTGTTCTGGAAGGGGGCATTGAGGGCTAGAAAAGCAAAGGTTGGAAATCATAGAACAGCTAGGGCTGGAAAGGACCTTAAGATCATCCAGTTACGGGAATATTTTCCCCAGATATGCAGCCTGTAGAGAAATGAGATCTATTCCTTTTTCCTATTGCTTTGGTATCTCATTTTGCTGCTAACGCATTCAGCTACATGCCCAGCTGGCCGTGGAAGGATGAGAACTGAACTTGTAAGTATTATAGCACATTTCAGTTTGAGAATGTTAGAAAGAAGGAGGGAATGTTTCATACAGGCTTGTTTCAACGTAAGATTGACTCCTTAGGAGGATAGGCCTGGCTGGATGGCACCACCGCTTGCATGGTGTAGGTGGCCAAGCAGTGTTACTGCAGGTGCAGTATCCTTCGTTATGCCAACAAGATCCCAAGCACTGATGTTTTGGCTCTGCTGGGCTAAATTCAGCTTTTCATGACATTTGCACAAACACCTCTGAAAATCTGTGCCTGTTCTGCCACAAACCACTGGTTCTTCCTAACCATGCTCTTCCAAGGAATCTGTTGCAGTGGGATTTCTGCCTATTCCCATGCAGACAGCATCAAACACATCTGAAGGTTCAGTCATTCCTTGGTAAAGTAGGTGTTCTGTAGTGTGGACCAGTACAGTCACAGATGCATTTTTATCCTGTCTTTTAGCACTATGTAACTCATTCAACTATGCAATAAGAAGGTTTTATGTCTTTAATGTCCAACGAGATAATTTGCAGAGAGATCTAGAAAGCCTGGAAGTAAAGAAATAGCCATAATTGGGTTAACCTCTGATGACTTTGAATGAAATCTCCAGTAAAGGATGCACGAAATAAGCTTAGCGTTCACCCTGTTCTTTTATGCTGGGGAATATAAAAGACAAATGAAAGATGGAAAACACTACTTGAAAATTCATGGTGATCATGAGGGCTGAATTCAGAGCACCCTTTTCCCTGAACAGACATCTCCATTATGTACCCTAAGGAAGACGAGGCAGAGGAAGGTATCCTGGTGCCACACACACACAATGGCTAAATGGTTGAGCCTGCACGGTCGAGCGTGTTTGGACCACACGTTGCACTTCCAAAGTGAGAATTCCCCCTTCCACCCAGGAGATGGCACTAAGGCACCCCCACAAAAAGCATCACTTCAGTCTTCCCCAAACCCTGTTTTCCCTGAAGTTGTGTGCTGGGGAGAAAACCTGCAACGTTTGCATTCATGGGTTGTGCACCTTGTGATGGGACTAAGTGAGCATCCTATGGGGAAACACATTTCGGATTGCTCTGTGGATGCTGTCACCTGGATTTGAAGTGGGTTGTCCTGCTTATGGCTCCAGTCCAGTGAGTTGCCCACCAGAGAACTGGTGGATCGGAGCAGATTCCATCCAAGAGTGTTCCTCTGTTCTGCACACAGGCAGCACCAAATGCTTTGAAGAAATATGCCTATGGTCAACTATAGCAATCTGAAGGCACCATGGTCCTGGAAAACATCTCCTAATCTCCACCAACCACAGCCTGATTCATACCCAGCGTGCTTCCCTGTGCTGGTTTTTGTTTGGGTTCCCCCCCTCCTTGGGTTCTGTTGCTAATGTAAAACCCGATGTTCATCCATATTGCTTTCGGAATCCTGGTGAGCTCATGACTGGTGTTGACTGGTGTTAACTGGTGCTGTGAGCCCAAGTCTGACAATGGATGGTGTGGAGGTAATGCCAGTATTAGCTAGAGCTTCTTACCTCTTTTTGGTCCCAGTGCTCTTCTGTGTTAAGCCTGTGTCACTCACACAAAGAGGCTTCATCCACCAAAAACCAGGAGCATCATTGGAGACATCAGGGAAACAGGGAGGTTGACCGTGGCTGCTCCCTTCTGTCATCTGGAAATACTTGCATGCGGTCTCAGTGTTGCATGTTACAAAGAGCTGTGACTCCCTTAGGTGGTGTGAGAGCTTGCTAAAGGCACACTTTGCTGACCACTGACCACCCTTTTGTGTGCTTGAACTGCCTTCGGACCATCATCATTTCCATAGCAGGGAGGTGCAGGGGGAGAAAAGCACTAAGAGCAATCACTGCCAAGTCAGGATTGGGAATACCTGATTGATAATTATTATTATAATATAATATCTGATTAATATAAAATACTGGGAAGAGGCAATGAAGGCTGGAGAAGCAAAGGTCTGAAAGATAATAAATATAATTGTGAGAAGATAAATGGCAGGAGATGGGGATGCAACAGGTTGGATCCTGGGAGCAGGGGCTGAAAGGTGCAAGTGCAGATTTCCAAAGCCCCATCTCTAAACCTCGTCTCCAAAGCTAGAAAGTGCCTAAATAAGCAGAATATCCAGGAAGAACATTTACCTTCAATAGCAGCAGCTTCCCCTTCTCCCTTGGTTAAGGACCAAGCTAGCAAATCCAGCATCCATCTGCCTGATTGAATATCCTCATTAGTGTGCCTGACGGGGTGTATCACAACCATGCATTCTGATTCAGTCATTTCTTTCCACCGTGGCTGCCCATTTTGATTAGCATTTAGCAACGTGCTTTATCCTAGTGAAGGTGGCTTGAAATTACCTTGTGTACGTGCCCTAAGCATTCATCTAGACACAGCCCCTGTCAGTGTGTAACAAACCATCGTAGCTAAGCAATGTCAAATTCAGCTGGAGGAGCCTGTCTCCAGCACAGGATAACGATGTTTTTTTATAAGAGAAAACTATCAGTGAGGCCACGGGATTAACTTTAAATGGTTCAAAATGTCCCACTGGGAACACCTCTATTCTCATGGTCTCATTCCCCAAAGAAATCAAACTTTGTCTACTCAGGAGCCTCTGATGCAAATAAGCTTTTCTCTCTGCTATTAAGTTAAAGGTGTTTTCATTGTTTCTGCCCTCTGAATTATGCAGTCATTAGGCCATTATACTTACCCATAGAGCAAATGCCCTCTGCCACCCAAAGGCTACATGGGCTGCCATGAGAAATGTCCCATGCCAGGACGGGAAGAGCAAGAAGCTCCACAGAAACACCAGATCCTTGTACCTCCCTGTATCATCAGCTTGGAGCATGGCCTTTCCAGGCATCATTTTGCTAAATCCATCATTGCTTCTCTTCCTGCAGGGAAACACAGCCACTAATGTGACTTTCCTAAGGTCCTACAGCAAGTTAGTGGTGACATTTGCTGTGGGTAAGTGGTGAAGGGTTGAAACATCCATCAGTATAGGGTGTTCCATGAGTATAAGGAAGCAAGAGAGGCGATTTGCTTTGATGATATACTCCTCAGGGACCAGTGTGCTAATGTGTATACATAGCCCTGTCACCCCTTGGGTCTAAGTAATCTAATATACCTAATTAAGATATAGTCTGTATATATTACTTATTATTACTGTAAAACAAGTTATTCATTGTCATTATTATTATCTTTCGATATTTTGGCTGTTGCTGTTAATAATCTCTTGCTTATCCCTGGATACTGCAATGATGTCTACTGTCAAGGATGTTTAAAGGTATTAAAAGCAATACCTTCTAGCTGCTAGCGAGAGGGCTCTCTAAACTCTCTACTCCAGGCTAATTTTAGCGTCAATTCAGAAGACCCTGAGTCAGATCACTAAAGGGCTCAGCAGAAAGGCTGCGACGGGACATCAGGTCTCGGATCTTAGCTCTGCATTGCCATCTTCAGGCTGGGAGCAGCCTTGCTCCTTCCAGAAATCCTAGAAATCTCCCAAAGATCGAGCTCAATTCCGGCTTACCCAGCATTAGCTGATGCTGGTGGCCAAACCCTGCGAAATGGTGTTAGATACAAAGGAGAGGAAGGAACTCTGCAAGGCTGGTGCTCAGCTGCCCTGGATAACACAGGTATTCCCCTCCCTGTGAATATACAAGGCTACAGGGAGTAAATTAACACAAGCAATGCTGCTTTACACACATTACTTCTTGCTTTGTTTGGTTTATTGGCAAGTTTTCTTTCAGCTACATAAATTGAGGCTGCCTGAGTGATTTGAGCTCCGTAGCCTGTGCTGTAACCCCTGCCTCCCCCCCAAAAAAAAGCCTTTTCTGGCAATGAAAAAAGCTGGGGTTCTGAGAAGATTTTAATAATATGTGCTTCAAAAGACCTCTGACAAACATTTCACATCTGATAGACACGGTGGTGGTTTGCAAGAAAGAGAGGAGGTTTTCAGGCTTTCAGGACCTCTGATGGACGGTATCACACAGACAGCTTTGGGGCACAAGGAGCTGTAATCACAGAACAGCATAGGTAAGGCATCTTAATATAAATGAGAAAATCATGGGATAGTGTAGCTAACACAAAATACATTGAAAATCACGGGATAATGAAGGTGTCCTGGCCCAGCAAGGCCAGGTTGGATGAGGTTGCCCAGACCTTGTCTCATCGCCTTGTGAACATCCCCCTGCAATTCCACCACCTCTCTGGTCTCCAGCCAGTGTTTGACCACTGTCATGGTAAAAAGTATTCTCCTGATCAGATCTGGTTGGAAAATCACTTTCTAAGAGCCCAAAAATCATGGAATCACAGAATGGTTTGGGTTGGAAAGGACCTTAAGATCATCCAGTTCCGAACCCCTGCCATAGGCAGGGACACCTCACGCTAGACCATGTCACCCAAGGCTCTGTCCAACCTGGCCTTGAACACTGCCAGGTCTCAAACTGTTTATACTTCTTCCCACCGCCTCAGTCCCTGAAATCCATTATTCCCAGTCCAAAAATGGGTAATGCTGGTGCTTACCATGGTCACCTGCAGCACCAGTCACTGGGCTGCGTCCATCTCAATCCCTTTCCCAGAGCACAGCCCCATAGCAGAGATCTCAGATGACCATCTCAGCCTCCGCAAGAAAATGCTATAGGCATCATTGTACTCGGATATCCAGTGGTTCCTGCAGAGAACATGGAGAAGGGGATAAGAAGAAGGCCTCCATCCTCTCCATGCACCAGAACAGGGGACTTGCCTCCCTTTTCGCAGGGGTTGTCACCCAGCCAGTGTAGAGCAAAGGAAAGCACAAAGGTGGGGAGGAAGACCAGCCTGTCTCCATCATGCAGACGCTGAGACGCACATGGCTCTCACTGGGACCAATCTCCCACCTAGATCAGCCATTACCCAGGCTGGGCTCCAACCCACACATAACTCCAGGATCATAGATTAAATCAAGACTTGAGTGCAGAGCTGAAATCTGTGCATGAGGGGGATGAGGCAGCAGGGAGGAATTGCCTTTCCGCTGAGAAATGGGAGCTCAGGAGCAGTTGATGCCTGTTTGTTCATAGTGTGCGGGTGAGTCACATCGCAAGCAGCTCCTGCCCTGTCTGATCCAAGAGAGCCCTTTCCCAGGGGAAGCCCGGCTGTGGAAATGTTGAGACGTGCCTCCCGCTCCCAGCCCCACAGGGACCTCAGCATCTTCTTTGCATGGGGATGGGGCTGTTCATGAAAGGTCTCCTCACTCTTATCAACACCAGCACCAACACCTCCAACAACTGCTCAAGAAAAGGCTGAGCAGGCTTGGAGAAAGGGTTTGGCCCCAGGGGAAACCATTCGAGCTCATTGCATAGCACAGACACAGAGAAACATGCTTCAGAAACACCTTCCAACCCTAACCAGCTCCAAACATCCCCTGACCCGCTCTTACCCTGTCTCTACTCCCTCCAACCTCCCTTCCCCTCCTCACCCACCTCTCACTTACTTGTGGAGCACATCTTTGAGGAAAATGTGAGAAAGGTTCATATGTCCTTTACAGTGTCCACCACAGGCTGGCCTGCGCTTGAAATCTGTGTTGTAGGTAGTTCTCCAGTCATGGGCAGAGCAGTCTAGTGAAAAAGAGTCCAAGTAACTGACTTTGCTGGATCTCTAACTCCTGCATCACAGAACCTCAGTGTTCCCCCTTCTTCCAAGCTCCATTGCTGCTTATGCTTTCAGAGCTCAATGTGGGAGTCGCCATGATCAAAAGGTTAGCCAAGGTAGAGGTGCAAGAAGTGCTTCCCTGGCGTGGATAAGGTCTTTAAGATGAGATTTCAGATGAGAGCTGGGCTTGTCCAGCCTGGAGAAGAGCAGGCTCCAGGGACACCTAAAAGCATCCTTCCAGTACCTAAAAGGGGGCTACAAGAAACCTGGAGAGGGGATTTGGACAAGGACCTGTAGGGACAGGCCAAGGGGAATGGCTTTAACCTGCCAGAGGGGAGACTGAGATGAGCTCTCAGGCAGAAGCTCTTCCCTGTGAGGGTGCTGAGGCGCTGGCACAGGGTGCCCAGAGAAGGTGTGGCTGCCCTATCCCTGGCAGTGTTCAAGGCCAGGTTGGACACAGGGGCTTGGAGCAAGCTGCTCTAGTGGAAGGTGTCCCTGCCCGTGGCCAGGGGGTTGGAACTGAATGAGCTTTAAGGCCCCTTCCAACTCAAACCATTCTATGATTCAGCCCTTCTTTTCTACAGCCTTTTATATATGATGGAAGTCACACAAGGCAGATCTGTCAATATTGTGCTCTTCCCTTCTGGACAATGACTTGTCAGCCAGTACATATTTTTCCCTATTGTCTACATTTTCTCTTTCATCATGTCAGAGCAACACATCTCTCCCTGGAAGAGATACAAGATCCACTTAACCCCCATGTGAGGACCATAACATCTATTGTGCTATCTCCCCCCAGTAGTAGCTGGTTTGAAGGGATGCTATCTCCTATCCTGCTCTCCAGAGATGCCCCATCTATATATGTGCATGTCCTTCTGACTGAGCAGAGAAACGTGTGGACAAACATGCTGCCACCTCTCACAACAAAGCCGGGGGGCACACAAAGAAGAACAACCAATTGTAGATGCTTCAGGTTTTCTGTGCATTTCAAAATGACACCTTCCCATAATGAGTCATTAGTGAAGTATCTTTGTTGTTTTCACTGAGGCTGAGATTTCAGGTGTTTATTTCACACGTGTATGACCACATCAGGCTGTTCATGCAACCCAAGCGGTCGCAGCAGCAGCTCCCATGCTGCTCATTGCAGGGGGATGGACTAGATGACCTTTGTAGGTCCCTTCCAACCCAAACCATTCTATGATTCTGTGATTTACTCCCACATTGAGCAGGGCTGTGCTGCATGGGGTGGCTCATATGGAAACTGGGATGAAAGAAATGTTACTCACAATACTCCAACCTCATCTCTGCCCTTCATCTCCCTACTGATAGGCAGAGTTATAGGGACTCTGTGGACCCTCCCTGTGTCATTCACCTTCCCTTCTTCCTTAGTCTCTTCCTGCATTAAATGAAGACTCCCAAAGGCAGGCTGAAGGCCACAAGTCACCCTCATGGGGCAGCAGCCACAACCTCCATCCACTGACCTCCAGCCAGAACAGAGGAGCCCACATTCCTGAGCTTGATTTGCAGACCATTATTCTGGCTTTTCCGGCTGGTCTCCCTGATGAACTGCTGGTAGGTGGCCCAGGCCGGGACCAGCTTCCGCCTGGGGAGCAGCTTCCCTGAGGACAAGAGGGTGCATTAGTCAGGAAGCACCACCAGTTACCCAAAACATACCCTTGGGTGGGAGCAAATGAACAGCAATGGCAAGTTGGAGCCTCAGCTGGTATAAATCGGGGCAGAGTCACTCACTTCATCAGGGCTTTGCTGAGGTACATCAGTTGTGCATTGATTTGGCTCAAGAAAACACTAGGAAAAGGATTTCCTACTGGCACAGGATTTCCAGGCACAGCTGCAGGTTGGGCAGAGAAGAGATTCAGAGCAGCCCTGTGGAGAAGGACTTGGGGGTGTTGGTTGATGAGAAAATGAACACGAGCCGGCTTCAGTGTGCACTTGCAGCCCAGAAAGCCAACCGTATCCTGGGCTGCATCAAAAGGAGCGTGACCAGCAGGTCAAAGGAGATGATCCTGCCCCTCTACTCTGCTCTTGTGAGACCTCACCTGGAGCATTGTGTGCAGTTCTGGTGTCCTCAACATAAAAAGGACATGGAACTGTTGGAACAAGTCCAGAGGAGCCCATGAGGATGATCAGGGGACTGGAGCACCTCCCGTATGAAGACAGGCTGAGAAAGTTGGGGCTGTTCAGCCTGGAGGAGAGAAGGCTGCGTGGAGACCTCATAGCAGCCTTCCAGTATCTGAAGGGGGCCTCTAAGGATGCTGGAGAGGGACTCTTCATTAGGGACTGTAGTGATAGGACAAGGGGTAACGGGTTAAAAAACAGGGGAAGTTTAGGTTGGATATAAGGAAGAAGTTCTTTACTGTGAGGGTGGTGACGCACTGGAATGGGTTGCCCAGGGAGGTTGTGAATGCTCCATCCCTGGTGGTGTTCAAGGCCAGGTTGGACAGAGCCTTGGGTGACATGGTTTAGTGTGAGGTGTCCCTGCCCATGGCAGGGGGTTGGAACTGGATGATCTTTCCAACTCAAACCATTCTATGATTCTATGATTTATGGTCATAGCAAGCAAGTGGAAGGAGCCATGCTGTCTCGGTGTTTCCCTGGAGTGCTAAAAGGAGCTGAGACCCTCTGCAGGAGGTTCGTGTATGAAAGGGAAAGACTTTGAGGGAAATACTGCTAGGTTACACAAGGACAGAGCAGTAAGGGGAAAGCCCATTGTAGTTTTGTCATTAGAGCAACACAGCTTCAGAGGGGCTTGGCAAGGAGATGCTTGAAGCCCTGAGGTGTTAAGAGGAGTCTAAACTGACTGCCCAAATGGAGACATGTCACTCTGAGCTGCTTGTCCAGACTCTCCTTCTAGTGAGTGGAGAGAGGGCTTACTTCACCTCATCTTCCAGGTAGCATTTAAGCTGCAGAAGATGGCTGTGTCTTTTCTCCCCTCTGATCATGAAAGGATCCAGACACAGGCATCCCATGCTGAGCTCAGGGAGCAGAGAGGACATCCTGCTTGTGTCCTCATGTTTGATTCCGGAGCAATACTATCCCCTTCCCTCTCCCAAGGGAGCTTAGAGGAACACCTCCGTTGCTTTGGGAAGGTTGAGCATGGCTGGGTGACGTTTGGTGACAGCTACTTTCGTTTTCCTGACTTCCAGCAGCATTTTAATCCATGTAAGCAAGCTGTTAAATGGCATGGCTGCGGGCTGGCTACCAGCCCCTTCGATGCATTTGCTGCCTATCAGGTATCCCTAGCAGAAGGGCACTAAGAGCTGCTGCTGCTCTGAACCACCCAAGTCCCTCATGCTCAACCATGGAGTCCTCTTGCCTCCCTGCACTTCTGTTCATGACCTGCAACATGGGGTTAACCACATCTCCCTCTGTCCCAAAGGAGCAGTGAAGATAAGACTCTAGGAGACTTTGCCATGCCAATGCCTTGCTAGCAGGGCTCTTCATACACCAAGCATGGCTCTGTAGATGTTTCTAAGACTCTACTCACTACACCTGCACTTAGAGCTGGTCTGGGAGCTGCATGTTCATGGTGACAGGGTGCTGTGCCCATGCTGCTAATCCTCATCAGCATTAACCCAGCACCAACACTCTATCAGGATGCTGCCATCGTGTGTGTCCAGACAACATGGACCATGGGCAGGGGGGCTCAGCTAGCAAAGACCCAGGAGACATCACTTGGGGTAGCTGGATACGTCCATTCATGTTTGTGAGCAGCTGGTGTGGGGTTTACCTGCTGTCCCAGCAGCCTGAGCAGCCACTGGAAGATGCTGGCAACAAGACAGCTCATTCTCCAGCTCACTGAGAGCCTGCAGCTTCTCTGCCTTCTCTGCCAGTTGGGAGGCAGGGTAGTGCTTTGGTAGGTAGCTTTCTGCAGCAGGAAGGAGGGAAGCAAAGTGCTTTCCCTGTTGCAAGGCTCTGCTGCTGTCTGGCGTCCTCCCTCCTGCACCATCATCATGACTGATGGCTTCGACGCTCGGTGCTGGGATGACTTCCCTCCTCTGCCTGACAACGCTGTCACTGTAGGGTATCACCGGCCTCTCCTGGGGTACAGCAAACTCCTTGGCTTTTAGCTGGGCATCTGCAACCTGCAGCTTCTGCAGAACAAAGGAAGGACAGTTGCTAAAGCATCATTAGGCAATGCTACCTGCCCTGGGCTTTGGTCAGGTCAGCTCCACTGGGGATACAACAGTCACAAAGCAGCTCCTTAACTGTTATTAAGAATGCAGGGACCACCACAGCTTCCTCTTTGTGCCCATCTTACAGCTTGGGACTCAGGAGGACGGAAGGAAAGAAGGAGGGAACTTTGATGACGGGTTTGACGGCTCCAAGGGTTTATGTCAGGGAAGGGCTAATGGGGCTGCTGGCATGGCTGCTCTGGGGTGTCTGCTGGCTCCAGCCTCATCAGCTGCACACTCCAGCTCTCTCATGAGCCAGTTGCTTCTTTCTAGGGGCTCCAAAAGAGACTTTCCTGCTGTGAGCTCTGCCAGGCTGCTGGGGCCAGCAAGGAGCATCCTCACAGGGTCTGCCCCAGCAGGCACCTTCACACAATGAATTCTCTGTTGCTGTCCCCCCTCCTTTTGCTCCCCAGGCTGAACCTTCTATTTTCCCTCTCTCCTGAGCCCAAAGCACTCCATCAACCCAACATGCCCCCCGCCACCTCCCCGCAGTGGCCCTGGTGCACACCACAGCGGTCCCCTTTGGGCTGCCACAAGCAATTAGACCAGGGCAGGCAGAGCGAGGCAAATCAGATTAAATAGCTCAGGGGGTTGCTCACACTGCAAGGGGATTCAAACACAACAGCCCACAGCTCCCCTGCAGAAGTCTTCTCAGGCCCGTGGCAGGGCAAGGAGCCATCTCCATCCCACATGCGATCCCCCTCCTCAAGGTGGTACCGGGATGGGTCTAATCCTGATGCACTCCATCAGCCCCATGGGAAGCAAGAGGAGTCCA